GGGGCCCTGCAGGCCAGATAGAATGGCCTGGCGGGCCGCATCTGACCCGTTGGCCGTATTTTATCCACCCCTGCCCTGTATAGTATTTAGCATCATGATATGCAGTTGAAGTATGTGAAATGTTAGTTTCTGATAGTTAAGGATCTAAAATATTATCTCTAATAGCTATTTTTTATTATGATACAATTTTCCATTTATACACAAGCAACTGAGAACTAGCATGAGTGAATCCATTCAGAAGTCTTACTGATTTGAGTACACATATCTTTGCCAGCTGCATGTCCAAACAGCAAAGGTTCTCCATTAAAATGATGCAAGATTTCTTATGCTAATGAGGAAGAAGCATGCTGGGAGTTGGGCTTGCATTTCCTAGGTCTCCTCCAAGTTGGTAACAGATTCTTGAACTATTCCAATAATTCAAATTATTTCTGCTAGTGGGATGCCAAGAGCGTCTGAAGGAAGAAATCCAACTGGCAGTATAAACTTACAAAAAACTCTTACCTATTAAGAAGGCACACTAATGATGTGCAACTAAACAGTATTCAAATACAGAACTATGTCAAATGATTTGCTTGTCTCTGAATTCATGATTCTGCCAAGTCATCACCTCAAACTAAAAAACAAAATTAAGGCAATATCCTACACAATCCGATTCTAACTGTGTCATGTTTGACAGGCACATTCGGTTGTAACAGTTGCATGCTACCAAAATAACCAGCCACAACATAATTACTGTCTTTACGGCTCTCTACTATCTTATGAATTGTCCACAGAAGCTGCAGCTACTATAAAGTAGATTAATCTAGAGACAGCAAATGCCATGCAAGATAAAATAATATGCATATGGGCTTATCTTCCTTCAAAATAAATTGTAGAATACCACTAGTGCTAGTAATGGCTTGCTACTGGCTGAAGAAAGTGGTTAAAAAAAGATTATTAAAATAGGGTAAGATAACTTAGTTTATCTCAAAACTAACACCATCACAAAGAGCAAGTAAAATATTTGTGCGAATATTACTATTTAAAATTCTATTTCACCTTCAGGTATTTAAATGACACTTAAACAGCCACATAACGACAATTTTTGGCACAATATAGATTCTATATACAATTGTATAGTTATGCTCACAAGGGCTGCCCACTCTCTTCATAGGCTCAAGTGTAGAACAGAATCTCAAGGGCACGATCCCAACACTGGGTAAGTCCCAAAAACTTTAGTCACTAAAAAAACCACCACACCAAAAAAGTGTTTGACAAAAGAGATGGAGGAACTGAGCCCTCCCACCTTTTAGCCCAGTAGCTTAGTGGTTAAGCCACTTGCCATAGCACATTAGAGGGCCCAGAATTGTTGAGACAGAAAGAATTTAGCCAAATTGAAAAGCTCCAACAAGAAACATTAATTTCTCATCATACAATAAATTGTTGGCTAAAACAAACTAAACCATTATCCATCCACCATTGGTGGCGTATTAGGGAAAGATAATCATATTAATTTGTTCTCTGCGTTGAAGTGATCAGATCTTCTCATCCAAACTGTGGAACTAGAAAAATGGACAATTTATTAAAGCTCCACTCTACAAAAAAAGTACGCATTGACAGGTATTGAGGTTATACGTAGGAAACCCTAGGAAAATACAAGTATACTTTACCTTTAACATTTTTTCCAAATCCCATAGACGCAGCAACTGCACTCTCCTCTTGTCTTTTGCCGTTTGTTTTCTCTTTCATGACATCATCATCACTTGAAACATCATCAGAGCTCATCTTCTTTTTCTTCTTTTTTTTGTGTCGAGGTGGAAGCTTTTTTGGGAAAGTAAACATGGGGAATATCACAAGGAGCATTGCAATGGCACAAAGGAGGAATCCACTCCACCTACAGTCAGGAAATATGAACAGCAGTTGAGAGCCAGCACAGTGTGAGACACAAAAATGACCAAGTAAACTACAGTGGCTATCACACTGTAAATCACAGTCTGCCCCAGCTTTTGAAAAAAATATTTATCAGCAGAACACCACAAAGCCTCTTGTAAGATGGATGATACCTTTAGAGTCACAAGCTAAGGGTCTCCCCCATGCACAAACCACTCCTTCTTCATAAAGAGGTGGTTTGGAATCACCATTGGAAAAAAGCAGACTTAGTCCCCTTGATCATACAAAGAATTCTGCAGGGCTTTGAGGACATGCATGCAGGGAATATATAGGCTGGAAGACAAGGCAGTGACATAGTAGCTGAAGGAAAGCAATCATCTTCCTAAAAGCCCTAAAGTTTAACTTTACCGAGAACCCCATCTATTCAGAAGAACCTCCTTTAAGGAGGATTTAATGTGTAAGTGAATCTCTAACAGCCAGCCAGTAGGCCAGCACATGGCAGCAAGCTCATGTTACAGTGGAAGAACTCAGAAAACTTAAGGAGGGAAACTATAGAATCACATGACCTCCTTCATGGGGATTTAATAGAGAAAACAATTCACCTCTAAGGGAGGAACTCAAATTTGCTCCATACAATTACTTGAACCTATGGAAAGTCTGGCTTTCACTAGAAAAAATTCTGGAGTCCAACTGTGAACTCCTTTTACACAAATGTAAATTAATGAATGATCAGTATACTACAGCAAAACACCAGCTCAGAAACCCGATGAGAGGGGAATCTGTTCCTTTGACTTCAAACAAGATGATTTCAGGCTAGTTTTTTTAGACTTGTTCTATCATCTGATGCCCAGAGTTCTATCCCTGAGCCAAATATTTCATAGTACATGTCTGAAAATATTAATAGAAGGTGACAGGACTTCCTATCTGAATAAGAGAAACAGTATTTGGCTTCGTTTATGCAATGCAAAAGAAATACATGATGTACTTTAAAAAATGGAACAAAATATGCCATACAATTCACAGATGATGATTTGTGGATGATGAATTATGAAGGTTAAAAAAGCTGAAATCCTGAAAATATAGCATCATGCTTCTAGAAATTTTTGCAGGCAGCTCTCATAAGGGAAATATAAAGTGGCTAAAAGTTTTGACTTTACGTAAGCAGAAAATCCCTTATTCACTCATTTTAGCTGATAAAATACATGGATTAGAAATAGGACTTTTAGAAGGATTAGTAGGCACTATCAGACAGGGAATAAATTACTACAGTACATAGAAATATAGTAGAAATTCCTTTTAGGATATCAGGGAGAGACACTACAAAGCAGTGATCAAGGAAATGGTCTTGGCAATAATAAATAGAAATAAGACTATCCACTCAGCAAAGGACACTGGCATGTATCAACAGGTGAAATTAAAATCTAAAGAATCCATTA